TTGGTGATGTAGTTGTTGAAGAGGATCTCGAAGTTGCGCAGCTGGGGGCTGTTGTCGTTGGTGTCCCGCAGGCGGACGTGCACCGTGGCGCGGCTCACGAGCGGCGCCGACGTGGCCTGCACCACCATCACGTACTCCGCCTTGGTCTCGTAGTCCAGGTCAGCCAGCGCCGTGAGCTCCCCAGAGAAGATGTCCAGCTGGAAGACCTCAGGGATGTTGCCCTCCACGATCTGGTACATGATCTGGGCGTTGGGGCCCTCGTCAGGGTCGCTGGCCACGATGCGGCCCACCACTAGCCCGATGGGGCTGTTCTCCTCCACAAAGATGTCAAACTCGTCCCGCTCAAAGACGGGCGGGTTGTCATTGACGTCCAGCACCGTAACCTGGATCTCCACCGGCGTCCGCTTGGCCGGGATGCCCTTGTCCATGGCGTAGGCCCGCAGGGCATAGAGCGGGACGTTCTCCCGGTCCAGGCGCCGCAGCGTACGGACAATGCCTGAGGTGGACTCGATGATGAAGTCGCCCTCACCGTCATCACCTCCCTGGAAGGTGTAGAAGACCCTGCCATTGAGCCCCGAGTCGCGGTCGGTGGCGGAGACCTGTAGGACGCTGGTGAAGGCCGGGACGTCCTCGTACACGGAGCCCTGGTAGCCGTCACGGAGGAACTGTGGGGCGTTGTCGTTGACGTCGCTCACCAGGATCTCCAGGTAGGTGGTGTCAGACTTCTGCGGGATGCCGTTGTCCCGCGCCGTGATGGCCAGCGTGTAGGACACCTGGTCCTCATAGTCCAGCTCCATCTGGGTGGTGACAGCCCCGGTGTCCGGGTCGATCCGGAACTGGGGGATGCTGTCCTCCATCAGGTAGGTGATGCGGGCGTTCTCGCCCGTGTCCTCATCCGTGGCGCTGATGACCACCACTGTGGTGCCCACAGGCCGGTCCTCATTGATATTGACGGTATAGTGGGAGCTCTGGAAGACGGGCCGGTGCGTGTTGGCGTCCGTGACGTTGACGATGACCTGGGCCGTGTCCTGGCGGGGGCCGTCGGAGGCGGGGATGCTGAGCAGGTATTGGCGCTCCAGCTTGTAGTCCAGGGGCAGGGCGAGCGAGATGAGGCCTCCGCCGCTCTGGCTGGTGATGGAGAAGCGGTTGCGGGTGTTGCCGCTGGAGATCTGGTAGGTAATGACGCTGTTGGCATCGCGGTCGATGGCGGAGACGGTGAGCACGCTGGTGCCCACGGCCGCGTCCTCGTTGAGGCGGGCGCCGTACTCCCGCTGCGTGAACTCAGGGCTGTTATCGTTGACGTCGAGGATGGTGATGCTGACGCTGGCCGAGGACGCCATGGGAGGGCTACCCTGGTCCTGCGCCTCCACACCAAAGCTGTAGAAATCCACTGCCTCCCGGTCCAGCTCAGAGGCCACCACGATCCAGCCGGTGCTGTTGTTGATGGCGAAGGGGAAGCCAGCCCTGGTCTCCAGGAGGCTGTAGCTCAGGCGGGCATTATCGCCCGAGTCGGCATCGATGGCTTGGATGTGGATGACGGAGTAGCCCAAGGGCACGTTCTCCAGCACGGTGGCCTGGAAGGGCGTGCTGACGAAGATGGGCGCGTTGTCATTGACGTCCAGCACCTGCACCGTCACTAGCCCGCTGATGTTGGAGAGGGGCGGGCGGCCACCGTCCTGCGCCCGGATGCGCAGCGTGTACTCCTTGCTGGCCTCATAGTCCAGGGGGCTGACGACATCGAGGGCGCCCGTCTGCGCGTCGATGTAGAAGTGGCCGCGCGTGTTGCCGCTGACGATGCTGTAGTGCACCAGGGCATTGCTGCCCTTGTCGCGGTCAGTGGCCGTCACCCGCAGCACGGCCGAGTTGGGCGCCACGTCCTCGGGCACCTGGGCCACATAGCGCTTGCTGCTGAACTGCGGCGCGTTGTCGTTGTCGTCCTCCACGGTGATGCGCACCGTGGCCGTGGCGCTGCGAGGCCCCGGCTCTTGCCCCTGGTCGGCAGCCTCCACCAGCAGCTCATAGGCCTCCACGGCCTCGCGGTCCACGGCGCCCCGCGTGCGGATGACGCCAGAGCGCGGGTCAATCTCGAAGACCTCGTTGGGGCCACCGCCATTGAGGAGGCGGTAGAGGATGTTGGCGTTGGCCCCAGCGTCGCCGTCGGTGGCCCGCACCGTGAGCACCTCGTAGCCCACCTCCAGGTTCTCCCGCACGCTCTCCCGGTACTCGGCCTGCTC